AAAACCCTTCCTTTTCCCCAAAAAAAAAAAAAAAAAAAAAAAAAAAAAGCCTGGGCAGCTATAGAGAACATGCACCACAAAAAGAGTTTGTGGTGCAAATCAGCATAAAATAGTTCAGCAAACACCTTCTTCCTTCTTCCAGGATCATCTCTAGTTCCACCAAATCCTACATGAAACCCGGGAGTGAGCTGAAGAGACTATAACAGATGAACCAGAATGATCTATTATTATATAGAGACAATGTAAAAAGGAATGGTCAAAGATCCCTCTCTTTGTATGCTCAAACCTTGTGAACTGTTGCAGAAGCAAAGTGCTGAGCTACTGGCAAAAGGGTGCTGTACAAAGTCGTGACAGTAGGGGTGCTAATAATATTTCAATGAAGATTTTTACACTGTTTTTTTTTAATTATTATTATTATTATTCTCTCACTGAATAAATGTATTGAAATTAAATATTAGTGTGATATTATGCTACTGTAATAAAATAACGATTTTAAGGGGATTCCGCACATCTTGCGTTACTGTTTTGAAGCCATATGAACATGTGATGACAAACAGCTTTATGCTTAACAGAAAAAAGTCAATATTAAGGTAAAATAACCTCGGATGTATATTAAAGGTTATTAGGTAAACACCCTGTGGCGCAGAGACCTACCGGTCCTCAGAAACGCTGATCACCCCGTCTTCTTTAGGGATGATCGCCGCCGCGGTCACAACCTCCTGGAAAGCCTCGATTTTACTCAGCAGGCACGGCTTCCTAGCCTGCGGACGAGGCTGGATTTCGGCCGCCATGGTGGAGCAGTGTGGTGCACGGACCTCCGCCTCCCCACCCCCGTCTCAGGGAAACATAACCCGCCGCAGTCCCACGCCAGAGCCTCGGTGGAGAAGCTGCTACATGTAGCTGTCAAGGAGAACCGACACGGTGTTGTGACTTCTGTGAGAGGTACAGCCAGGTCAGCTGACAAACATCTCACCGCCCACAGCCTCCCGCTCCCACACACACACACCTCATTTCCGGTCAACAAAATAAAACTTCCGCTCTTAGCCGCTGGTCAAAATTTCAAAGTAAATGCTTTGTTTTGAAGGCTCTTAGGCCATCAAGGTTCCTAAATTGTCGTACGAATTATTTCCAAGGTAAATGGACATTCATGCTTCTGGTGACGAGAAAAACGATGAACAAGGAGGCGCGAGCGCTCGCAGGTACGCTGTATTTCACTTACCTGCAATTTCAATCTTGTATTTCTGAAAATTATTAAAAATATGGATTAATCAATTGCTAAAATGTACAGTCCACTTCCCTTTGCATGAATATGAGCAATGATTCAATTTAAACTAATTTAATTTATGAAGCACTTATATTACAGAAATGTAATTAACCTAAAGTGCCTACCAAAATAAGACTAAAAAATCATCACAATAGAAATAACAAAACATAATTCATAAAAAGTGACGGTACTTGCAAAAAACACAAGACAGTAAATTATATATTATCACTATGACTTAGCATCATGAAACAACCATCAAACTGGTGTCATTATTATTATTATTATTATTATTATTATTTTTTTTTTTTTTTTTTTTTTTTTTTTTTTATCCAAATAATTCTATATCACAACTTGTGTTTCACTGGTTGATCTGCAGATTTTTTTACTGAAGGTTCCAGCAGGGGGCAGAGCTTATTGTCACGGCAAAGTTTACTTTCAGACCTGATGTCATGCATCAAGGTTACTTGCCTGAAACATGAGTGACATGAAGCGACACTTATTCAAGTGTTTTGTTGTTGTTATTGTTGTTGTTGTTTTTTCCTTTTTCCGCAATCAGCTTTGTCGAACGTTTTACACAAACATACACAAAAGTAGTAAAACGTCCAAAAGTTTAAATGTATGTATTTGTATAATTTCTAAAACCTTTCAAAACTCATTTCTACCGTGTATCTAGTAGTGTTATTTGCTCCCTCGTTCTCAGCACTTAGAAGAAAATGAAAGAAGTCACAACATCCCAACCATATTTTTAGTGAAGTGAAACTATTTTGCATTTTAGGAGGTTGTGTGTGAAAACTCTAACTCGGCTAATAGGACCAAAAACTGTTCTTTTGTTAAGTTGTTTATAACAACGCATCCTAACTAGCCTAGAGTAACATCAGATGTGCCAAAACATTTGTTTTCCTTTGACATATTTTACTGTTTTCCAACCCCAAAACATTAGCTTGACATAAATATTGAGGGTAACACAAATAGCTTAAAACACAGACTGCACCTGTCTGTGTTTTAAAATGCTTTAGGTGAAGTTGTAAATCACTAGTCCACTCTGTATAAGCAACTACAATACATTCAAATGGAAGAAGAAATAAAACCATTAAGCAGCAACACTAATATGTTTGGTTATTTTGGGACTTCACAAACTCATCCAAGTACATAACTTAAGTAATTAAGAAAAATAATCAACTCTCAAATACTGTCAAGTATTTAAAAAACCAAACGTGATACCCACATTAGCTAATAATCAACTAAGTGTTGTCATTAACCCATCAACGTTACATAAAACGAAAACAGAATTAGTTCTCGCAAGTGGTCTGAAAAAAAGTGACGAAGTGCAAATATTTCCGTTCATAATCTGACGGGAAATTCAAAATAAAAGCCCAACCTTGGAACCGATGGCAAGAAATTATTTCTGGAGTTTGTTTTTAGGCAGTCTTAACCTACAAAATATTACTATGAGATTATTATTATTATTTTAAACAAAGAAGTAACTCTTAAGTCAACGGGTTCTTGGACAAGATAGTCAACTCGAAAAATATTTATTTTTTTCAAGTAACGGTTCCTTTAATGAAGTAGTGTCAAAAACTGAATGTATACATCTATATTTATATTGTTTTCTTTAATTAACTTAGTATATTATTATGTTGTGTGCAGTGGTGGAAAGTAACGAAGTACAAGTACTTCGTTACTGTACTTAAGTACAGT